ACCAGAAGGAGAAGAATCAGAGAAAGGATTAGAGAACCTGTTTGAAGAAATAATGACAACAAAAGTTCCCTAACCTGGTGAAGAAAAGAGTTACACAAGTCCAGGAAACAGAAAGTCCCAATTAAGATGAGCCCCAAAAGACCTACAACTAAACAAATTATAATTAAAATGGCAAACATTAAAGACAAAGAAAAATATTAAAGGTAGCAAGTGAGAGACAGAAGGTTACCTACAAGGGAGCTCTTATTTGACTGTCAACTGAGTTGTCAATAGAAAGAATGCATCCAGAAGGGAATGGCATGAAGTATACAAAGTAATGAAAGGCAAGGGTCTGAATCCAAGACTACTCTATTCAGCAAGGCTATCACTCAAAACTAAAAGTGAAATAAAGAACTTCACAGAGAAAAAGGCTAAATTTACTACCACCAAAGTACCACGGCAGGAAATGCTAAAGGGACTGCTACAAGAGAAGAAGAAGAAGAAGAAGAAGAAGGAGGAGGAGGAGGAGGAGGAGGAGGAGGAGGAGGAGGAGGAGGAGGAGAAGAAGAAGAAGAAGAAGAAGAAAGAGAGAGAGAGAGAGAGAGAGAGAGAGAGAGAGAGAGAGAGAGAAAGCACAGGCATAAAGAGTAAAAACGGCAACAGATAAATACCTATCAATAATGACATAAACCAGGCAGTGTGGCTCACTGGTTGATCATTGACACATGCACCAAGAGGTCTCCAGTTTGATTCCTGGCCAGGGCACATCCCTAGGTTGTGAGCCCAATCCCCAGTGGGAAGCATGCAGGAGGCAGCCAATTGATATTCTCTCACATCAATGTTTCTATCGCTCTCTCCATTTCCTTTCCTCTCTCTCTAAAATCAATAAAGAAAAAAAAATAACCTTAAATGTAAATGGCTTAAATGCTCCAATCAAAAGACTTAGGGTAGCTGATTGGTTAAGAAATCATGACTCGTATATATTCTGTCTACAAGAGACCCACCTAACAACAAAAAACTCACACAGAATGAAAGTAAAAGGATGGAAAACTCTTTCCAGGCAAATGGAAATAGAAAAAAAAAAGCTAGTGTATCAATAGTCATATCTGACAAGACAAACTTCAAAATAAAGGCCATAAAAAGAGACAAAGAAGGTCACTAAATAATATTGAAAAGACTGATCCACCAAGAGGATATATAACTCTGGTAAACATATATTCACCAAATATAGGAGCACCAAAATATATTTTAAAACTTCTGAAGTACTTCAAGGAAGCAATAAATAGCAATAGAATCATAGTGGGGGACTTGCTGACACTACTGGATAGATCTTCTAGTCAAAATTTAATAACAGATAGCCAAAACAATGCTGGATTTAATTGACATTTACAGAACATTTCACCTCAAAACTGCAAAGCTACAGAATATACAACATCTCAAGTGCACACAAGACATTCTTAAAGGTGGGCCACATATTAGGACACAAGTGAAGTCTGTACAAGTACAAGAAGATTGAAATCATATCCAGCATCTTCTCAGATCACAGTGGCATGAAACTAGAAATCAACTACAATAAAAACACTCAAAAACATTCAAACACATGGAGGTAAAATAGCATGTTATTAAACAATGATGGGTTACCAATGAGATCAAGGAAGAAATAAAATCTTCCTGGAAACTAATGAAAATGAACATGACAACACAAAATCTATGGGAAAGAGTGAAAACAGTCTTGAGAGGGAAGGTCATAGAAATACAGACCTACCTCCAGAAATAAGAAAAATTTCTAATAGACAATCTAACCATACAACTTAAAGATTTAGGAAGAAAACAAAAAGAAAAACAAACAAACAGAAAATAGAAGGAAGAAAATAACAAAGATCAAAGAAAAATAAACAATATAGAGACTAAAAAGAAAAAAACAATACAAAGGATCAATGAAAGCAAGAGCAAGGGTGTGGAGCAAAGGGGACTCTAGTACACTGCTGCTGGGAATGTAGACTGGTGCGGCCACTATGGAAAACAATATGGTATTTCCTCAAAAAATTTACAAATGAACTGCCATTTGTCCCAGTGTTCCTACTTCTTGGAATATATCCTAAGAAGCCTGAAACACCAATCAGAAAGAATATATATATACCCCTATGTTCATAGCAGCACTATTTGCAATTGTTAAGACCTGGAAACAGCCCAAGCGTCCATCAATAGATGAGTGGATAAAAAAGCTGTGGTACATGTACACAATGGAATACTATGCAGTTATAAGAAAGATCTCTTATCCTTTGAGATGACATGAAGCATCCTGGAGAGTATTATGCTAAATGAAATAAGCCAGAGAAAGACAAATATAACATGATCTCACTTACTTGTGGAATATAATGAACAATATAAGCTCATGAACAAAATAGACCCAGAAGTAGGGTACAGACTGACAAACCTCAGAAGGGGACAATATGGAGGAAAAAGATAAGCCACAGAAATTTTATATATGTATGTGTAACCAATGAACATAGACAATAATGGTGGGGAAGTGGGGGCAGATCAGGAGGAGGGTGTCAGTGAGGTAAAAGGAAAAACATCCCTAACAAAAACAAATAAATAAAAAAAGAAAGAAAAATATCCTCAGGTGAGGATTAAAAACATAAATAAAATGAATGGAATGAAAAAATATGAGCATCATATAAAGTAAGGAAGTTTTATGAAACTTGCTTCAGTTAAATATATGAAACTGTACTTAATATACATGTATTAATATATAAACTAATATGTTCATTATAAATAATTTAGTGAGTTGTGAAGAATATTTCTTATTGTGGTCCGCAGAAAAGTTTGAAAGAAAGTACCTCTGTAACTATAAAAATCTGTCTTTTCTATAGTACTTTTGGGTTCTGCACACCAGCAGACCTGAGGTGTTCATGAACAAATGGGTGAATATGTACATGGAATTATAAAACATCCATCTTTGAGTCAGTATTCCAGGTGCAGCATCTACTTGTGTCTTCCCCACTAACTCTAGGCATTCCTCTCTAAGTATAATGTTTGGGAGAGACTAAATAATTGAGGATTTATGGCTTTATATGATGATACCTTTATGGGAAAACTATAAAAAAAAATTAAGATGACAGTACGCTACTGTTATATCAGTTTTAATTTTAAGGAATATTATTCTATGGTCTGTGTCCATTGATTATGCATATATGCATAAATTCTTTTTGTGAAGGCAGGGGGCAAGGCAATAGGGAAATAAAGGGGACATATGTAATACTTTCAACAACAAATATAAATTTTAAAAAGGAATATTATTCTAAAACAAAAACATTAATAAAATGAAAGATCTATTCCAAGATTTCTTAATATCTTCTGTAATGTTCCACTCAGAAGGTAGAAAACCACAAAGTCCTTCCTTAAGGATGGGTGTAAATGGAAAGTAATATTGCATTACTGCGCTGTATAAACTTTGAAGACAAGCAAACTCAATGATTTCGATTTCTATTCCCAGATCACTGTTATTGAAGAACTGTTCACTTAACATCCTAGGAGCTATCTTACTGAAATCTGCCACTGTAATCTATGAGTGATGAACCTTTTTTCCAATTAATGTAATGAATGTGACACTGCCTACATCTATCTTTGGTATAGCTAAAAAGACAAACCCTCAGTATCACATATCATCTATTAGAGAAATTGTTCACATAATTATTTTTCTAAGATCCTTCAACTTAACAATTTTTAAATAGCTAAAATATAATTGAGGTCACATGGGCACCATACCTGGAACAACTACACAGACATACTCTGTTTACAAATGTTCAGATTTATTTTTATTTTTTACTTTTAATTCTCACCTGAGGATATGTGTTTATTCATTTGAGAGACAGAGGAAGGAGGGTTGGGGGTGGGGGAGAGAGAGAGAGAAAGAAACAGCGACCGGTTGTTTCCTGTATGCACCCAGACCAGGGATGAAACCCAAAACCCGGGTATGTGCCCTGACTGAGAATCAAACCTACAACCTTTCGTAAGAGATTATGCTCCAACTAATCAAGCAACACCTGCCAGGGCAACAAATGTTAAGTTTTATAGCAACAGCACCCTGGGAGAGTCAATGGCACAGTCACATTTTATAAAAATCAAGAGAGGCCTTTTGCACAATGGCAGAAAATTATTTTCTTGGTAGTAGACAGGAAATAATTGGCTAAAGAAATAAGGTCATGGAGAGGCACAGAATCTAAGTAATCCCAACAGAATCTAATTTCTTACATTAGTAGGATTTTTTATACAAAAGTTAAAAAAATACAACCCAAGTCATTATTTCTTGTTTCCTTAAATAACCATTCTACTCTAAGTTGGTGAGACCATCTAGAGAAATTTTTCTAGTTGCAAGATGCTTTGCAATAGAGTCATTAATTAGTAAGCTCAAAGTGAACTCTGAATTGGATACAGAAATTTGTAAAACAATAATGTATTTCTAAAAATTTGTAAAACGGAAGACTCAAGACACCAAGAAGAGCCAAATAGTAAAATGGCACCCTGAAAATGGTCATAGCAAAACCTAATTTTCTATTAGTTTTCATCATATGGGTGAAACTATTTAGTTAGTAGAGAAAAGATGGGGATGGGGGTGAGGGTGCCTGGTTAGGCTGCACCAAGACAATTTCCCTCTGATGTATCCACAAAAGGAAAATGACTTTTTTGTTGCTTGCACTTATCTTCAGCAAGGCAGTCTAGTCCCCTCAACTCCACTGTGTGACTGGGAAAAGATAGTAAAAAATACTTCCATAAAAGATAAAGACCGACAAGCTTACCTAGGAAAGATGTAATAAATGTCATGGATAAGAAATACCACATGCTGATTTTAACATTTTTTTTTTTTTACTGAAAGAATCTATTTGTCATATTTACACCATAGGAAAATTGGAGGACCCCCCAAAAAGGTGATGCAGAAAAATTAAGATTCATAAACGAAAGTATACATTAAAATGGTAAACATATTTTCAAAAATATGCAAAATAATCTCACTATGAAATGCCTTGATTAACATGTGACTTAGTACTTATTTCATATTAACCAGATACAGTTACTCTGGTAAAACTCTATTACATGTTTTAGATGTCTATTTTTTTAAAAATATCTATTTTTAAGTCAGTACATAAAACCTGTATTTGTGTATCTATGCATAAGTTATTCTGCTTGGTACCTCCTTGGATTCCAGATGCTAAAAGATTAATAAAACAATTTTTTAAAAAATCTCAAGTCACAGATTAGCATATAATATATTTCTTCAAGTTTTTTCTATTATACTACTAAAAGTAACTTGTATTAATTTATTCTAGATTTCCAGATATAAATACTAGTTAATTGTTGATTGGCTATTAAATAATAAATAAAATTAGTCTTAGAACTAGATCATATAATTTGGAATGCCTTAACTTTTCTTAGTTCAAATCCTATAAAATACATAACCATGCCCTTTTTTGTTTTAAGCTGACATACTGACTTTGCACTTTATACTTTGTAAGAGAGCAGGTAACTCTAGCACAGAAGAAACTACATAATGTGGCACGGGTGATGACTTCAGTGGCACTATTCCGTTTTTATTTAGCCAGACTGTTGCTTTCAGTCCTGCATTGAGGCCTCCTTGTATATCGGTTTCTAGTGTGTCACCAACCATCACACACTCCCCAGGCTGTACTCCAAGGAGATTGCAGCAGTAATAAAATATGGAAGGTGCTGGTTTTTCTTCTTTCTGTTCTCCACCTATGACAAGAGCATCAAAATAGGACTGACAGGCACAAGCCTGGATCTTCTCCCTCTGGGTCTGTCTGTCTCCATTTGTTAATAAAAGTAGGCAGACCTCTTTACGAAGTTCTGTAAGCATTACTTTGACATCTTCTGTTAGTGTCATATGCTGTAAACGTGTAGATTTCCACAGAAAATAACATTCTTCAGCCAATTTCCTATTGGCTGCACCACCCTTTGCTTCCTGAATTGCTTCTTCCCAGTGTGAAATCCTTAGATCAGTAATGCATGTATTGGAAGGATGAAAACATTCCTTGCTGAGTTTAACTTGAACTCTGTCACAGATTATTTCAGCCTCTTCTTTGTAATGGTATTTTGACTGTAAGAGCTTTTTTACCTAAATAAAGAAAAACAACTCCATTAACACACTTTATCTTTAATAGTCATGCTATGAAAAAATATGTGATCCTATAAACCCAGAGACAGAGCTCCACTCCTCTGTTGTTTTTTTCCCAATAATATTTTAAAATTATTATTATTATTATTTTTAATCATTCAAGGATATGTTTTTCATTGATTTTTTTAGAGAAAGAGGAATGAAGAAACATCCATTGGCCATCTCCTGCATGCACCCTGACTAAGGATCAAATCCGCAACCCAGACATGCATACCAACCAGGAATTGAACCCACAACTCCTCTGGGTTCATGGGATGATGTTCCAACCAACTGAGCCACCTGGCCAGGGCTCCATTCGTCTGTCTTAAAGCAGATCTCTTTCACACCATTCCCAGTAGAAATTAGCCTTAATTTTAAAGAACCCCAGACTAAAGGGGGAAGGTGTGAAATTAGGGGGTATCTGTAACACTGTCAACAATTAAAAAAGAAAAAACCCACCACAGTAAGGATCTCCCAGCCTCTCTAAACAACTCATATATATATACAAACACACACACATATATTCTTTATTTTATTATGACACATATATATACTGTCTCCAAAACACCCACCTCAGAACAAAAGTCTCACACAGTATGAAGGTGAAGGGATGGGGAAAAAAATTTCCATGCAAATAGAAATAAAAAAAAAAAATCTGGGGTAGTCATACTCATGTCCATCCAAATAGACTTCAAAATGAAGGCCATAAAAAGGGACAATGAAGGCCACTTCATAATAATAAAGTGATTGATACAAGAGGATATAACCCTGGTAAACATATATGCACCCAATACAGGAGCAGCCAAATATATTAAAAAAAAAAAACTTCTGAAAGACTTCAAGGGACAGAACCACAGCAATCCAATCATAGTAAGGGACTTTTTTGTTGTTGTTGTTAAGATAGAATGGAAGGGAGAAAGAGAAAGAGAGAGAGAGAGAGAAACATCAATGTGAAAGGGACACATCAAGTGGCTGCCACCTGCACGACCAGCCAGGGCCGGGGACAAACTGCAACCAAGGTATGTGCCCTTCAGGTACATGCCCTTAGCGGGAATCAAACCCGGGTCTCTCTGGACCGCAGGCCAACGCTCTAACCGCTGAGCCAAACTGGCCAGGGCCATAGTAAGGGACTTTAACACCCCACTGACATCACTGAATAGATCTTCTAGATAAAAAATCAACAAGAAAACACCAACTCTAAATGACACACTAGATAGATGAAATGGATTTAATTGACATTTACAGATCATTTCACCCCAAAGCTGCAGAATATACATTTTTCTCAAGGACACATGGGATATTCTCAAAGATAGACCACATGTTAAGACACAAACTAAGTCTCTACAGTTCAAGAAGACTGAAATCATATCAAGTATCTTCTTGGATACCAATGCCATGAAACTAGAAATCAACTACAATAAAAACACTCAAAAACATTCAAACACCTGGAGGCTAAAGAGAATGTTATTAAACAATAAATGGGTTACCAATGAGATCAAGAAAGAAATAAAAAACCTCTTAGGAACTAATGCCAATGAACAAACAACAACCCAAAGTCTATAGGACACAGTGCTAGTTAAGTTCATAGCACTATAGGTCTACCTCAAGAAACAAGACAAATTTCTAATAAATGATCTAACCCTACAACTTAAATAATTAGAAAGAGAACAAGCAAAGCCCAGAGTAAGTAGAAGGGAGGAAATAATAAAGATCAGAGCAGAAATAAATGGCAAAGAGACTAAAAAACAATAAAAACATCAATAAAACCAAGAGCTGGTTCTTCGAAAAGATAAACAAGATTAATAAACATTTAGCTAAACTTATTAAGAAACAAAGAGAGAGTACCCAAATAAATAAAATCAGAAACAAAAGAGGTGAAATATCAACTGACATCACAGAAATGCAAAGGATTATAAGAAAATACTATGAAAAACTATATGCTAACAAACTGGACAATCTAGCTGAAATGGACAAATTCCTAGAAACATACAACCTCTCAAAACTCAATAAGATTCAAAAATTATCAACAGACCAATAATAATAAAATTGAAGCAGTAATCAATAAACCCCCAGCAAACAAAAGCCCTGGTCCAGACAGCTTCAGAGGGACATTTTACCAAACATACAAAGAAGAACTAACACCCATCCTCCTCAAACTATTCCCAAAAAATTCAAGAGGAAGGAAAACTTCCAAGCTCTTTTACTAGGCCATCATTATCCTAATTCCAAACTACACAAAGATATTACAAAGAGAGGAGAATTACAAGCCAATATACCTGATGAACAAAGATGCCAAAATCCTCAACAAAATATTAGCAAACAGGATCCAGCAATATATTAAGAAGATTATACACCATGACCAAGTGGGACTTATTTCAGAGATGCAAGCCTGGTACAATATTTGCAAATCAATAAATGCAATTCATCACAAACAAATTAAAAGATAAAAATCATATGATCATATGAACAGAAGCAGACAAATCATTTGACAAAACCCAACACCCATATTTGATAAAAACTCCCAGCAAAGTGGGAATAAAGAGATCATACCTCAACATAATAAAGGCCATATATATATACACATACACACATATATGCATAACCAATGGACATAGACAACAATGTTTGGCAGGGGTGGGGGGGCCAGGATAGGGAGGAGAGTGTCTGTGGGGAAAAAGGAGAAACATCTATAACAAAAATAAATTAATAAATGAAAAAAAATGAAGGCCATATATGACAAACCTACAGCCAACATCATACTCAGTGGATAATAACTAAAAGCATTCCCCTAAGAACAGGAAAAAGACAGGGATACCCACTTTCACCACTTTTATTCAACACAGTACTGGAAGTCCTAGCCACAAATATTGGACAAGAAGAAAAAATAAAAGGCATATATATTGGAAAGGAGGAAGTAAAACTGTCATTATTCACAGACGACCTGACATTGTACATAGAAAAACCTAAAAACTCCGCCAAAAAACTATTAGATTTAATAAATGAATTCGACAATGTAGCAGGATACAAAATCAACACCCAGAAATTGATGGCATTTTTATACACCAATAATGAACTAGCAAAGAGAGAAAATAAAAAAAATCCCATTTACCAATGCAACAAAAAAAATTAAGATACTTAGGAATAAACTTAACCAACAAAGTAAAAGATCTGTCCTCAGGACACTACAGGATGTTGAAAAAGAGATAGAAGAAGATATACATAAGTAAAAGAATATACCATGTACATGAATTGGACTAATTAACATCATTAAAATGTCCATACTACCCAAGGCAATCTATAGATTCAGTGCAATCCCTATTAAAATATCATTGGCATATTCCACAGATCTGGAACAAATAATCCCAAAGTGTACATGGAACCAAATAAGACCCTGAATAGTCATCATAATCTTGAAAAAGAAGAACAAAGTAAGAAGGATCACAATTCCAGATATCAAGTTAATTATAAAGCCATTGTAATTAAAACAGCCTGTAACTGGCACAAGAACAGGCCTACAGACCAGTGGAACAAAACAGAGAACCCAGATATCAACCTAAACCACTATGCTCAATTAATATTCGATAAAGGAGGCAAGAAAATACAATGGAATAAACAGTCTCTTCAATAAATGGTGTTGAGGAAACTGGACAGATACGTGAATAAAATGAAACTAGACCTCCAACTTATACCACACACAAGAATAACTCCAAATAGATAAAAGACTTAAATGTAAGTCATGAAACCATAAAAATCCTAGAAGAAAATGTAGGCAGCAAAATTTCAGACATCTCACACAGCATAATTTTCACCAATATATCACCCAAGGCAAGATAAACAAAGGAAAAAATAAACAAATGAGACTACATCAAAAGTAAAAACTTCTGCCCAGCCAGTGTGGCTCAGTGGATGAGCACTGACCCATGCACCAGGAGGCTGCCAGTTCGATTCCTGGTCAGAGCACATGCCCAGGTTTTGGGCCCAATTCCCATTCGGGGACATGCAGGAGGCGGCTAATCGATGTTTGCTATCATCGACGTTTCTCTCTCTCTTTCACCCTTCCTCTCTCTCTAAAATCAATTTAAAAATATCTTTAAAAAAAAAAAAAAAAAAAAGCTTCTGCACAGCAAAAGAAACCAGAATCAAAATGAAGAGTGAACCACTGTTTGGGAGAACATATTTGCCAATAATACATCTGATAAGGGGTTAATTTCCAAAATATAAAAAGTACTCCAACAAATCAACAAAAGGAAGAAAAACAATCCAATTAAAAAATGGGCAAATGATCTGAATAGACATGTCTCCAAACCAGACATACAAATGGCCAAGAGGTATATGAAAAAATAGTCAAAGTCACTAATCATCAGTGAGATGCAAATTAAAATGACAATGAGGTACCACCTCACACCTGCCAGAATGGCTATCATCAATAAATCCACAAACAACAAATGACTAGAGAAAGGAACCCTAGTACACTGCTAGTTGGACTGCAGACTGGTACAGCCACTATGGAAAACAGTATGGAATTTCCTAAAAAAAATTGAATACTTAACTACCATTTGACCCAGTGATCCTACTCCTGGGAATATATCCTAAGAATCTGGGAACACCCATCAGAAAGAATATATGCACCCCTATGTTCTTAGCATTGCTATTCACAATAGCTAAGATCTAGAAAGAGCCCAAGTGCTCATCAGTAGATGAGTGAATAAAAAAGCTGTGGTACATGTACGTAATACAGTACTCTCCAGCTGTAAAAAAGAAGGCTCTGTTATCCTTTTGGACAGCATGGAAGGACCTGGGGAGTATTATGCTAAGTGAAATAAACCAGTCAGAGAAAGATGAGTATCATATGATCTCACTTACATGTGGAATCTAATGAACAAAATAAACTGGTGAATAAAATAGAAATAGAGTCATGGAAACATGGAACAGACTGATGAATCTCAGAGGGAAAGGGGAAG